GCCCCCAACAACAATCCGGGTCCTCATTTTACCCACCTCGGAAGGATGGAAGGCTGAGTCAACCTTGAGCCGGTGAGATTTGAACCGCCGAACTGCTGATCTAGCAGTCAGCCCACTGCGCCACCTCGGCTCTATGCTGACAGGCTGATTATCTGCAAAACTTGGCAAGGAGTCTCAGAGAGTCACGAACCAATGAAGTGAACTAATTGTCTCCTGGTTGGAGAGGAGGGCACATCAGAGCTGGCTGGAGAATTCTGGGAGTTGAAGTCCACAAGTCTTAAAGTTGCCAAGTTTGGGAACCACTGCGTTATAGCCTATTGAAGCCTCCTTAAGCCCCCCCCTCCCCCCGTTTGCTGCAAAGAGGTAAATTGCTGGGAGGCAGAGGCCAAAGGGTGGGGTCTGTTGGGTGGGTGGGGCTACATTTGGTATATAAGACGCACCCAAATTTCACCCTCTTTTAGGGGAGAAAAAGGTGCGTCTTATACTCTGAAAAAATACACTAAATCTGATGAATTCTGCTTTTGACGCTTCTCCTTGTGTGTTAATTTGCAGATTTTGACGACGGTTTTGGATTTCCTGCGCGACGGCACTTTTGGCGGATGCCACAGCCAGAGCGAGGCGTATCGGACCGCGTGCCACAAAATGTTCCCTTTAGCGACGGCCTTCATGTCTCCCACCAGTGATGAGGACAGTTGCTTTGCCCCCGTCAATCATATGGCCATCAATCATGAAGTGCTGACCAATGAGATTTGAAACGGAAGGCCAGGACCAGCTCCTGACACTCCAGGGATCGTCTGGGATCTTCCCGCTGGATCTCATCAAGAACCACTCAGCTGTCCAAACCCGGGAAACTGGAGGCAAATCTACTCTGCAGGAAAATCCTTTTTCCCTCAACAAGAGCTGCCAATAATGAATAGAAACAGCCTTTTTTGCATAATGCTGGGCGTATTTATACTCTGTACAGCTATAAAATCTTTCTATTCTGAATCGTCGACCCATAAATTCCATTGAATATACCAATAAATACGATCACTTCTTCCAAAACGTGCAAGGAAGGTGTCCATACGAGGAGAACCTGAGGAGAGGCCGCCATCTTGACTGTGTCACCATCCATGTAAAGTCCTGCATGTGAAAGTTAACAAACCAGGATAAATATATCCTCGAAACATGTTTTCCCTCGGCTGTGTGTTTCGATGGCGTCCTTGGTGCTCCCTTAGCTTCGTTGTTTTCTTGCAGACTTTTCATTGCCCGGTTGTGATCAAGGCTTCCCGAGAGCAGGAAGCAAAGTCCTTGTCCCGACAAAAAGCCCTTTTATTAATTGGCTATGAATTCTGCTCATTCACAGCCGGCAACTGTTTTTCAAGGGAGGATTTCCAGTCACAAACCTTATCTGGCTTGGAGAGCTGCCAGGCCGATATCTGCAACATTTGGCAAGGAGTCTCGGAGAGTCACGAACCAATTAAGCGAAGTAATTGTCTCCTGCAAACTCCACTCCCCTTTCGCTCCTCTTTTATTTGCTCTGGGAGGGGCCATTCACTGTCCACCTGTGGCCTTACTCCCAAGTCGACCCCTGTCCTTTAGCTGTTCCGTGCATGTGCACACTGGGAACAGGCTCCAGCTGTTCATCTGCCTCACTGATGTCTGACGCTGAAGGCAGCTGGTAACTGTCATACGGCCCTCGCCCCCTCTCTGCCTCCGACGCAGAGCCCTCATCAGAACCTTTCCCAGACTCCAGGACTGGCCCAGGTTCCTCCCCAACCTCCTCACTGTCCGAATTTACAGCCATCTCTGCTGGCTGCTGGGGGGGGGGCACAACAATAACCATTTTCCCCCTGGTTTGGGATCCCAAATAGCACATCCTTTCAATAGAGGATGTTTGATTATTGCTTGGAGGAATGATCTCTCAGGTGATAGGGACAAACTTCCATGTCCAGGGTAATTTTATATATGAAAGGTAAATCAGGAGGTCAAATGGGTGTAAAGATTTATTGCAAGCCTAAGCTGTCTACAAGAATCTGGCCAACTAACAGTCAAGGGAAATGAGCGGGAGATAAGAAAGGAATTCAAGGTGGGCTGCCTCCGACACAGAGCCCTCATCGGAGCCTTCCCCAGACTCCCAAGACTGGCCCATCTTCCTCCCCAACCTCCTCCCTGTCCGAATCTGCTGCCATCCCCACTGCTGGTGGGCCACAACATGCCCAATTAGGTAACAAACACCCTGCTTCCTTCTTGCACTAATGACGTTACCTAGTTGGGTCATGAAACATCTGCAAGAAAACCACCAAACTCAAAGAGAGCACCAAAAAAATCCCTTGTGTCAACCCTGAGCTACTAATATTATTTTCTGTTTCTTTCAAAGCATGGATCGCGATGGGTACTGGCCTAGTTTTCATCAGTTTGTATGGAAATTCTGCTTCAATGGAAAAGTGCTTTCGGATTTATAAAACGGAGAATGTGTTTTTTAAAGCTAAATTATTTTGGTTTCATAATGATTCTTTTCAACGATCAATTAACCCTTATTGTTGTATTTTAATTTGTTTGTCTTTTATTTTCTTATTTGTATCCCCTTCTCCCTTTGGTTGTTAGCCCCCCCTGAGTCTCTCGGGAATAGGGCGGCATACAAATTGAATCAACTACATCTACAACTTAATACCGTTAAGTTGCCATTATATCTATTAAGATACCTTTGTATTACTTAGGAATTTTAAAAACATTTCACTTCCAAAACAAAAGGGAGTGAAAATTAACGGGGAATGCGGTCGTCATCATCATCATCAATAATGGTGAGCCACATTAAATTGTTCAAGAAATGAATTGGAAACCAGTAGTTGGAGAAAAAATATTATTGCATTACATTCTGTAAAGCTGTTAACGTTAAGTAAGGTTGTTTTTTTAAAAGCACAACTTTGGCTGATTATACATTGCATTTCATCTCCCCCCCCCCCCTGTTTAGTTTTTATAAGTTAACGTACATGCATTTCACCTATAATATATCAATGTTTTGAATCAGTTTTAAATGTCCCCCCCCCCTCCCCTTTCANCTTAAATCGGTTTTTCATTTCTCTTCTGATTTTTTTTCTCCATTTACCCTTTTGGCTTGTTACTATCATATGGAAATTTTCAGTAAATAAAATTCAACAAATAAAGGAATTTCAAAGCTATGTTATGAATCAAATCTGTTGACTTGTGGTTTCTAAAAAGAAATATATCAATTCTGGAAAATGAAATTTCCAGAATCAACTATTGCTGATGAATGATAACAGCATTCCAGTATTTGAGAGACCACCACAAAGAGGAGGGGGTCAGTTTTATTTTCCAAAGCACCAGAGGGCAACAATGGATGGAAACTAATCAAGGAGAGCAGCAACGTGGAGTTAGGAGAAACTTCCTAACATTGAGAACAATTAACCAATGAAACAGCTTGCCTTCAGACGTTGTGGGTGCTTCATCACTGGAGGTTATTTTTTAGAAGAGACTGGACAGTCACTTGTCTGAAATGGCATAGGATCTCCTGCTTGAGCAGGAGGCTGGACTAGAAGACCTCCAAGGCAATGGTGGGATTCTATTTTTTTTTACTACCAGTTCTGTGGGAATGGTTTGGTGGGTGTGGCATGGCTTGGTGGGCGTGGCAGGGGAAGGTTACTGCAAAATCCCCATTCCCTTCTGATCAGCTGGGACTCGGGAGGCAGAAAATAGATGGGGGCGGGGCCAGTTAGAGATGGTATTTACTGGTTCTCCTCAAAAATTCTGCTACCGGTTCTGCAGAACTGGTCAGAACCTGCTGAATACCACCTCTGCTCCAAGGTATCTTCCAGCCCTTTTCTGATTGATTGAACATTTCATCAGAGACATTTTGTACTCAGAAAAAATATGGAATAACCAATTAAAAGATTGCTG